ATATATATAAAGGAACACGAAACGGATCATAGACTATATGTAAAACCTAAAAATGTAAAGATTCTGGAGGAAAATCTTTGTGAGCTTGGGTTAGGCAGTGATTTCTTAAGACACAAAAAGCAGAAACCATAGAAGGAAAAAATGATAATTTGGACCCCAGCAAAACTTAAAACATCTCTTTTTCAAAAAGCACTGTGAAGAAATTGAAAAGACAAGCCTCAGACTGGGAGAAAATATTTGCAAGATACATATCTGATAAAGGATCAATATCAAGAATATACAGAAAGCACTCACAACTCAATAAGAAAACAAGCAGCCTAATAGAAAAAAAGCAAAACATTTGAATGGACACTTCACCAAAGAAGAGACATGGATGGCAAATAAGCCTATGAAGAGATATTCGTCATTAGTTGTTAGGGAAATGCAAATTAAATCCACAGTGAGATGCCAGTGTGCGTCTATCAGAATGGCGTAAACAAACCAAACGAGACCCAGCGTCATCAAGTGCTGAGAAATATGTGGAACAGCTGAAACTTTCATATTGCTTGTGGGAAAGCAAGATGGTGTAGCCACTATGGAAAAAGAGCGGAAGTTTCCTATAAAATAAAACTTATGAGCAGCAATCACACTTATATTTACTCAAAAGAAATGAAGACATGTCCATACAAAATCCTATATATAAATGTTTATAGTAGCTTTATGTGCAATGGCCCCAAACTGGGAACAGTGTCGATGTCCATCAACTGGTGAATGGATAAAAAGATTGTGGTATGTGTATGCAATGGAATAGTATGCAACATTAAAAAGAATCTATCCATACATCCCACAAAATGAATGAATTTCCGATTCATGCTAAGAGTTTAAAAAAACAACTGGAAAGGCACCATACTTTTAAATTCAACTTATGTGACATTCTGGAAAAGGCAAAGGTGTAGGCATAGACACATGGTGGTTGCCAGGAGCCCATGGTGGGGAAGTGCGTTGGCCACAGAGGAACCTTTTGGGATATTGGAAATATCAGTCCTGGTCACGGTGATGGTTACATGACTGAAGGCATTTGTCAAAACCATACAACAGCATATTTAAGAGCATGAATTTTACTGTGTATAAGTTATATTTCAATAAATCTGACTTAAAAAGTTAAAATATTAAAGTAGTCCTTTTAAACTTAGATAATTCTTCTTGCGTAAGCAAGCACTAAGGAAGAGCTGTTGGTTTCTCCTCTGTTTGGTTCACGCTGACATGGACCTTCTGAGGCTATTTCTCATCGTTCTTTCTGGTTATCTGCTGACCCCTGCACCTCCTCCATTATAATTCATCATTTGAGGCAATTTGAGTATCAGTAAGGCTAATTACTGTAATGTATTGAAACATAACATATTTTAAAATCTTTATGAGTTTATAATGATACTAAGAAAAATTTAAAAAAATTATTGGTCACTATTAAAGGATATTAAGGATACAACTTATTTTGAAAATTGGTAAACTAAAAAAATCAAGTATTTATGCTGATTTTCTCATATAACTTATGTTTCACGGTACCCAAATTATTGATGAAGAAGGTCTCTCTTTGTGCATCAGTTAAGTTAGAAAGAATAGAATTAAAAGATCACCATTTTGAAACTCTGTTAATAAGTCTGACCAATGATTATCATTGTTTTCTATCCTCACAAAAAAAGAGACAACCAGATTTTATGTTCTTGCTGACGGAAGTACACACCACTACTACCTATAGAATATTTTTGCCAGAAACTCAAAGCTGAATCTGATACAGATTTTCTGTCCTAGATACAGACTTTCAGGCATCGCAGGGCATGGAGACAGACACGTGTTAATATATGGTGATACAATCAGTAAATCCAGACCCTCAGAAACCCCGTAAGACAACCCATCTATTTAACAAGTAGGGAAAAGAAAAGGACAGGGAATCTATAGATTAGAGAGACTTGAGACACACAAACCCGTTGTAAAGTATAGATCTGATTTGGATCATCATTTGAATAAAGACAACAAAAATATGTTAATTGAGGAAATTTCAACATCGACTAAATATATGTTGATATAAAGGGATTATTTGAAAGTTTTAGATATATGGCATTTTATGTTTTTTAAGAAAGAGCCTTATAGATAAGGAAATATTTATAGATGAAATGTTAAGATATCTGGGATTTGCTTTGATTGATACAGTTTGGGTGAAGTGAATGGAGGATATAAAAGGAAATAAATTGGCTATGAATTGATAATTGATGAGGCTGGATGAGGAATATACCAGAGTTCATGATTCTATTCTCTGTACTTTCTCATGCTTGAAATTTTATAGAATAATCATTATATACTGATTGCTTGTTTGGTATTGTGCACTGTGCTAGGTGTAGGTTTTATATTGATCAGTAAATGGACATAAGTTATCATTAACCTGTGGAACTTTTAGTCTCCAGGAGGAGGCAGATGATAAAGATGTAAATAAAAAATATATTGTAAATTGTGAAGCAAAATGAACATAGTTCAGTGATAGAGAATTATAGGGAAGCGCTACATCTAGGCTGACGAGGGTGGACGGTGGTGTTTCAGGCAAGATCTGAAGGGCGGGGACAGACAGCAGTCCTGAGACAGTGGATTGATGGGAGGGGTGGCCAGGCTGGTCAAGGACAGTGATGTGCGTTTGCTCCTTCTTTCTGCTCCAATGGCCAATATCTTATTGTCTGGCCACTTGTTGATTTACTGTTTCTTTTGCTGACTCTCTGTTGTGTATTAATGTGTGTCTGACCTTGGATCTAATAGAATATGAATCCTAGAACTGTTTCCAGGCCTGGCATAGTTTCATATTCTCTGAATGGATGTCGATAGTACATGCCATTTTTTCCTATACATTTTCAACTACCAGAATATAGATGAGACCAGTATTGTGTCTTTGAACAAAAGACTCAGCAATTAAAATGAAGTACATCCTAGTAATCTTGGAATATAAGAGAATTCTGTCTTGGGTTCTGGATTACATTTTCCTAAGGTAACGCCAACAAAATCCTGTTCCTTAGTTACCCTTCGGGTTGTTAGAGTAATAGGAAATATCATTTTGTGAAGCACTTGATTTCTTAAATAACAATAGAATAACGTATTTCATTCATTCATTTTAAGTAGTATCATATTTTCCAGCGATAAGAGTCAGGCACAATGTAGAGTCTCCATAAGTGTTAAGTAAAGAGTTGATGGATGCCTTGTAGAAATTTCTCTTTGCCAGAGCCTTCCACTATACTTGTTTTAGTAATTCTTTTGTACTCCTTTGTTCTTAGAGTATTTTGAAGCACTGGTTTTTTTCCTGACTCAACTATTACTCTGGGCAGGAGTGAATGTGTGTGCGCGTGCGTGTGCGTGTGCGTGCGTGTGTGAGGTGGGGGGAGGTGGTACTTACTCTTTCACAGCATGATCATTTGCTTCTTGTTACCTTTTAGACATATTACAGATGCTACACTTGCCATTGTGAAAGGGGAGACAGTTCCACTTGATGTCTTGCAGATCAAGGTAAAGTCTTTTCTTTAGAGTTTGAAAAACTTAAAGTAATAACAGTTCACACAAGATGATGAAAACAATAGTCCCTCTGCTTACCCTTTCCTATAACTCCCCAGGGAAAAATCATTTTACCTGTTTATTCTAGTTATTATCACGAAGAAATATGATTATGATGCTGTTTTTAAAAATTGTGTTAAAAATATACATAACATAGAATATACCATTGTAACCATTTTTAAGCGTACAGTTCAGCAGTGTTAAGTACACGATACTAGTTTCCGATTTATCCGTTTTAGACCTTATCTCTTGACCTCTTTGTTATATAGAAGAATTCCACTGTATCTCCTCCCAGTATAGTTGTATCACTATTTTTTGTTCCTCTATCGATTACCTTTGGACCTCAAGTAATTTCTCTACTTCATATGATTGTTTCAAGTCTGAAAAGAGCTAATAAATATAAAGCACTTAGGACGGCGCCTGATTTCCTCTTACCTGCTTGCGTGGTGGCCGCCTCTTTCTCCCACGTTCTGCCAGAGGTGAAATCTTTCTCGTGTCCCATCTGTCCTCTGCAGGGGCTTGTCTTTCTTTGGAATTCAGGTTACTTGGTTGTCTTACAATCTCAGCCCTCCGATGGGCATGAGACAAATTATGACTTTGTTGATTATATAGCTTTTTCTCATTTTTTGGGTGGGAACAATGTTCTTCGTAGCTTCCTCCATCCTAGGTGGGAGCAGAACTTCCCATTTTTCTATCGGATTGTTTAATGCTTTCTTATTGATTTGTAGATGAACTCGAATCTTTCTAGAAATATATTTGTGGCCTTTGCCCACTGAAAGGGCTTCGACACAGTAATACCCAACAGCAGTGGGCATAGCTGGCACTCAGATTTTGATCTCTCAAAACCATTCTCTAATACAAGTTAGCAGGACTCTGAAAAGATGGCTTTCAGAGGCCGGGCAAGAACAAGGCAAGGAAGTACTCAAAAACTGATGGAGACAGCAGAAAAAAACAGGAGCCAGCCCGATGGTGTCCTACTGGCCAATTTTGGGACAGTTTGAACATCGAAAAGAATAGTAATGCTAATGGATTATAATACATTAAATAAAAATGAAGGATCCATGAATCCACAGTGATGTCATAGGAGAATTTCCAGCTCGTAAATGAAGAAGGAATGATGGAGTTACAGAATTACCATTTCGTAATCACCGATGAAATAACCGATTCAGGCAGAGATCATCAATGAGTGCTAAAACTGTTAGATAATAGGTTGTTAGGGAACATTCACACAGTATCACAGATTATATGATAATTACAAAGGGGAAAATGTACCTTTACAGTAGAGAAATCTAGCATACAACACCTTAACCAAATGATCAAACTTAGTGTCACCAGTAACGGGACAGGCAGACATGAAAAGGGTACATCACCTTTGTAGTTTCTTGCTCAAAACATTAACTAATCTGAATCTGACTGAATCTACTAATGAAAAAACAATCAAATCCAAATTTTGGGACATTCTAAAAACAACAGGTAGTCTGACCTTTTCAAAAAGGTCAATGTCGTGAAATCCAGAAGAAGGTAGAGAGTCTGTTTAGGAATTAGAGAAATTAAAGAAATTTCATAATTAAATCCAGTATGAGATCCGGGATTGGAAAAATGAAAAAGAGTGACAGCCATTAAAGATTTTTTTGAAACAACGAGAGATAGCTTAATTGTGACAGTACACAGAGGCCGGGCAAGAACAAGGCAAGGAAGTACTCAAAAACTGATGGAGACAGCAGAAAAAAACAGGAGCCAGCCCGATGGTGTCCTACTGGCCAATTTTGGGACAGTTTGAACATCGAAAAGAATAGTAATGCTAATGGATTATAATACATTAAATAAAAATGAAGGATCCATGAATCCACAGTGATGTCATAGGAGAATTTCCAGCTCGTAAATGAAGAAGGAATGATGGAGTTACAGAATTACCATTTCGTAATCACCGATGAAATAACCGATTCAGGCAGAGATCATCAATGAGTGCTAAAACTGTTAGATAATAGGTTGTTAGGGAACATTCACACAGTATCACAGATTATATGATAATTACAAAGGGGAAAATGTACCTTTACAGTAGAGAAATCTAGCATACAACACCTTAACCAAATGATCAAACTTAGTGTCACCAGTAACGGGACAGGCAGACATGAAAAGGGTACATCACCTTTGTAGTTTCTTTATCAAAACATTAACTAATCTGAATCTGACTGAATCTACTAATGAAAAAACAATCAAATCCAAATTTTGGGACATTCTAAAAACAACAGGTAGTCTGACCTTTTCAAAAAGGTCAATGTCGTGAAATCCAGAAGAAGGTAGAGAGTCTGTTTAGGAATTTAGAGAAATTAAAGAAATTTCATAATTAAATCCAGTATGAGATCCGGGATTGGAAAAATGAAAAAGAGTGACAACCATTAAAGATCTTTTTGAAACAACGAGAGATAGCTTAATGTGGACAGTACATCAGATACTTTGTATCCATGGTAGATTTCTTGAGCGTGACAGCGTGTTACGGTCATGTCCATGTACATCCTTATTCTTAGGAGATGCTGCAGAAGTATTTAGAGGTGAGTGAAGGGTCATGAAGTCTGCAGTTCATTCGCAAATGAGTTAACAATAATACAAAACATGTACACACACCTAGGATAATGTTGATGTGCGGGATGCAGTTGGTGGATCTGGGTGAGAGGTATAAAAAGTGTTCATTGTACATTAAACCTTTTTTTTTTTTTTGCAAGATAAAAATTTTAGAGGGAAGAAGACTCGATAGCCATTCCTGATTCTTAATCAGAATCTTCTTTAAAAATAATTTGATTCCTAGAAAAAAGATGTTCTCACTGGATAGTAGTTACATACCTTTTCTTTCTTCGTCAACCCTACCCCACCTCCCAAAAAAAGGGACAGATTCCTACGAAGGCTGAGTGAGCCCTAAAGTCTATCAATCCTGTAAACTGTGAGCCCTGTGACTTTACTCAGATCTGGTCTTAAAACGTGCAGGTTCCATCAAGTTGTCCTCTAAAGACTATGGACACTTTATATTCATTCAAGTTCCCCGATATCGGTGAAGGAAGGGTCACGCTATCTCATGGTTCCAAACTTCAGTCCTAAAATACTGCCACTCGTCACAGGTTGCTGTTGGCCGTAAATGTATTTACAGCTGGTGAACCCCCGAGCTCGCATCCTCTTTTCCTCTTATTTTCCTCTGTTCTTCATGCAGTGATGTCTGGACTCCCCACTATGACCTCATTGGTCACGAAAAAAATGATTCAAATTGCAAATGATTCTTTGGCATATAATAAAGCTAAATTGTTCTCACAGAATGGAAGAATTTCTAGCCAGCCAGGTTACTGCAGATCGGGATCAATGAAGATATTGTTTTAAAATATCGTTATTACCAAGGGAAACGAATTGGAATATGTCTCTTAATAACCGAGTGATTTACGGCTTCTTATTTATGTGTTAGAAGTAATATATTCCAGAGTAACTAGGAATTACCTGGGAATTCTTGACTGTGCTTATATTTAAACGTCTCTTGTCTCCTTCATGTTTTTCTTTCAATATAAAGACTTCGTGAATTGATGAAACCAATATCAAATTTACCACAGGCTCTGTATATTGATGACATAGCCCAGGAGGCAGAAATCATTTTAAATCAATTCCTGGGAAACGTAATTCAGCAGCCTCTACAGTGGTTTCTGAGGCACCCAGCTAAGCGGAATTTGTCTTTTTTTTTCCTTACTTCTGGAAATTGCTTTCAGAATATGGGAGAAAGCATTACAGAGTGGTGAAGGCTGATACCAGATTTTTTTTTTTTTTTTTTTTTAAAAAACAAACCCAAACCCAATTAAACATATAACTGGAGATTCTTCAGAGATAAAAGAAGTAGCCCTTGGAAGCTGTAACTCAGCTTTTTACTTTGTTGTGCATTCACATCCAACTCAGGAAGGCACGACGTGTGTTAGTATGTTACCTGGCACATTAGAAAAGAAGTCATCTGGTCGTGACTATCGTGCTGGAGACAGAAGTGGAATCCGGGTTTTCTGTCTTATGGGCCATGGCTTTTCCCACCTCACTGCTTTGTCCAGGCAGCCGTAGTCTTGGCAGCATCCCACGAATTTGAGAGGGCATTTGCCCCATGCAGACATCTGTGACCCCTGGACCTTGACTTTACAGCAACTGTTGGGCGGATCGATGGGATTCTTTCTAGTTCTTTCTTTCTGCTCTTTTAGCCGGACACTTCTGGACCCTGCTGACCCAGAACCAGAGGAGTGTCAGGGAGGCGGCGAGGAGCTAGACTCTCCCTCTCCCCTCTTTCCTTCCTGGCTGACTGCACGGCTTCCTCCAGCCCAAACCCGGCTCCGACGGTTCTCTTACGGACCTCAGCGCTCCTCCCGCCTCGTTTCTCCCTCGGCACCTAGAATCCCCAGAATCTCTAGATTAGGCAGCTGTCTAGTCGACAGGAATCGTTTCCTCTTCACTGTTCTTTAAGCTTTTATTCCAGCCAGCCCTCGCAGTTATTTTCCTCTGCAAATCACTAGGCCACTTTCTCTCCAGAATTTCCTCTTTCCAGGAGAGTCTGCGAGCTGGGGCAGCAAATCTCCTTTGCTCTGAAGGTCTGGCTGTACACCTTTCTGTTCCTGATTTGGTTTATTGACGTCTTCGTCTCATAATCTGACTACTGCCCCGACCTCCTTCGGGCTGAGACATCACAGTGGTGCTTTGGCCATTGGCTTCTACGCTGCCCATCTGACCTCGCTTATTTCTCCTGTGCACGCGTGTACCCCAGTAGGGACCAGTCTCTCCATTACTGATCCTCAGGCCTCTTGTGAATCCTGAGGGCCCTGTGCCCACCTGGCTGCCAGCTGGGCTTCTCTAGGTCTTTCACACTCAGCTCCTTTCGCCTAGAGCCATTGCTACCCCTTGCTAGGACATAGCCCCCCAAATGAGTGGAATCTTGAGGTACAAAGCTTTTCAGCTAATCGTATTCAGTTAATTCTTCCTCCCATATGAAAACAGCCCTGAGCGCAGGGAGGGAGCTTGTGCATTGTCTCAGCACTTGGGGCCACACTCCGTGCTTTAGGACAGCGTTTTCCCCGGAGCGTCAGGTGTGCCCGACACCCTCCCAGACAGCTGCGCGGCTAACTGCTCGGGGACCGGACGTTGCGTTTCTCCTTTGGGAAATTTATAACGTGCGCTGATGTAAAGACTTTTAAGCGTAGTAAACATGACCTGCTTCCTCTCAAACCAAGGAAGTTCGGGCTTTTCTGACTTTTTTCACGATGGAATCGTCTATTGCCCTCCTCCTCACCATCGTTAACGGTACTGACATCTCACGGGCCGTCTGGGGAAACGCTCCTGTGGATCCAGCAAACTCACATCGTGTTGTTTCTGTCCTTTCTTCTGTTGTTTCTTCTCTCTCCCCAGCCTCGCCAGTCCGCCTTATTCTTTACAATTTAGTTGGTTTTGTTTTAAAATTCACATCCATCTCCCTCGCTCCCCCCACACCTGTTACACAGTCGCATTCCTCCGTATTTTCAGAGTACTTGCTACACATCTCTATTATCCGAACCTCTTGCACTGTATCGTTATTGTAGTCTGTAGCCCCCCACAGCACCGTGAGCTGAGGGCAGACATCTTATCGCTAGTCCCAAACATATAACATATATTTGTTCTTGAAAATGCTATGAAGAAAATGAATGACTAGCTTCGTATAGTCAGGACGGCTCAAGCCCTGCTGCCTTGCACAATATCCACTTGGCCCCCAGGGGACTAACATCCTGTTGCGCCAGCAGCGAGTTGCCTCGCCGTCACCCCTTTGGTCTGCCATCTCTCGCTCGTTGTCCCCTGGCTTACGCAGGTGCAGAAAAACAAATCTATAGACACGCAAAGAATGTGAGGCCTTTGTGTCTTTTACTCGTAGGCTGCCCTATCTGCATGTGATTCCCCTAGGATTCCCCCCTTTGGTTTCTGTAGGAGGAGCGGGGGAAGCAGTCCCTCCGCTCAGCAGAAGACATGGCAGACTTTCTCTCGCCTGCAGCCTACAGTGCCGAGGCCTCTCCTCCAGCAGCTGTCTCCTGCTTCCACTGGTGGTCGTGGTGGAACTCGAGCCGCTTCTGCCCCATTCAGGCAATTCTGTCGAGTGGCGTCCAGCACCTGGCAGTGCTCTTTAGAATGCGGGCTGCCCGGGCTTTGGCTGCCGTTCCGAGCTACGGGAAAAGCCCCCGTCAGGATCTCGGTGTGCGTATCATGTGTGCTCTAAGGAAAGTCCGTCACGGAGCATAAACGCTGAGGTGGTTTCTGTATGTTATTGATCTCGCTGATTAGAAACTCACTGGTTATCGTGTGTATGTTATACATTGTTTCACCGAAAGCATCGGACTAAATCCGAATCACTTTTCGTTTTGATTTGTTATGACGAATATCTGACTGTATTTTCAGATATTCACGTGAAATAGTCTAGAGTACCAGGATTCCGATACTTGAGAGCCCTCGGCCCTCCAAAGAGAATGCAGACTTAAGTTATCTTTGCCTTGGACAAGTATAATCTGGCCGATTATAAAGAAGAAACTCTGGCTGATCCAGCTATTAAATTGATCCCAGAACCAGCATAGTTAGATATTCCTTAACTTACAGTCTCAAGTATGATACCATGTTCCCTTGCCAGCAGATTCATGAGGCCTAATATATAAACACTAGTGTTATTTAGAGTATGGTTTATTTGAGTACTTTTACTGACCACTTCTAGAGTTAATTTCTTAAATATCGAGCATCTTTTTAGAATTTGGTTTGATGACAAGTAGGCCGTGATCATGTGCAGGTACTTACCTGCTGAGAATTCCAAGTTCTTGTAATCGTTAATTTAAATTAAATGTATTTCTCTTCCAGGGTGAAAAGGAACAACCTGTGTTTGCAATGACTGGCCTTCGATGGGGATCCTTCAGAGATGCTGGCGTCAGAGTTAGCAAGTAAAGGATTGCTATATTGATGTGTGGTGATGTAAAAAAAAAAAAAATCTCTTAATCTGCTCCGCAGTGTGAGGTTTCACTATACAGTGATCTCGTAGGAATACATTTGGTGGATGGAGGTTGAATTATGTATGATTAAGAGAGAGGTTTATATCCTATATGCAGAAAGGACGGGGGATGTTCCAGGTTCCTCCTAGCTTGGTGGTGGCCAAAGAGGAAAAGAGTCATCTCTATTTCTAGACACCCTCTCTGAGGCTCAAGCTAGGCTGGAGTAGACCTGGGGTGCCCGTCATCCTGCATCCTGCGTAGCGGGTGCCAGGTGAGAGGCACCGCCGGGGCCTCCGCTGCACAGCGCTTTTGGACCCCGGTCGGACGACTGGCCCCGACAGGTGTTCTTTTCGAAGGCCTAGCAGCTTGAGAGACCAGAGGCTCCCTCCTTCAGAGAAGGAAAAAAGGCGGACGCCTGGCTGTGTCGAGAGATGGAAGAGACAGGTCCGTTGAGGAGATGATTGAAGGGCCATCGCTGGCTTTTCCTGGGCATGGACTTATTTTTGGAGGATTCATTGTGTAACATGAAACTCTTAGCTTGGCAAGAGGTTGTGTCATGTTCTGTCTGACGTGGAAAGGTGGTTGTTAGCAAAGGCTCCCTGGGGTGGGACTGAAGGAGACACTGTGAGGCTCACTTCATATCTGTGTTGTGTCTTTCACCTTTTCTTAAAAACGGGCTTACAGTTTTGGAGTAGTTTAAATGAATTATGACTGAGCACACACAGGTTTTGTCAAGAAACCCTCTTTCACGTCATAAGCTTCCTGCCGCAGTTCCTCTGCAGACTTTTCTCTCACCTTTTCTCTTTATTATTCCTGCTAATCAAGTTCCTGATGGTGAAATGTCAAAAGAGAAATATTACCGTATTTTGCAGTCTGTTACTTAACATTTCACATCTTTTTATTTGCGAGTATGCCATGATTATCTTGATTCTACAAGTTACCCTGTGTTCGATCCGCAATGTCAAATAATCCCAGCAACTCACCAAGAGGAGTAGCTTAGTTTTCCCTGAGTCTGGTGAGAACAGATTGCTTTCTAAAATGTGTTAATCAACAATTAAGCACAGGCATAGATCAGCCCCTCCAGGAGTATCTCACACGTTTACCCATACTGCGATTGATTTCTGAACAATGAATTTTAAAATTTGAGTTGTTATCTACTACCTCGACTAGGACTGTCCCCTGAGTTGCTCTGTGTGTTACAGAAGAAACAACCAAGATGCAAGAACTGATTTCCTAGCTGGCCATCGGGAGACTATAAGCACAGCGTCAACATTCCTCTTGGTAGAGATGAAGGGAGCTGCCGACAGTTTAGAAATAAACTGCCATAGCTAGGGTGTGTTTCCTGGAAAAGAAGCAAATCATTACATAAGCTGAAAGAAACACCAGATAATCAAGGCCCTCATTGGTATAGTTTGGTATAGTTTAAATGAATTACGATTGGGCTCACACGTACCTTGATCCAGTAGCATCACACTAGTCACCTGCGTGATAATTAGAATGGCTCCACGTTGCTCACTGGATTCTATCTAAACTCCTTCTTCTGGCATTCAAGGCCCTGCTTAATCCATCCTCTCCGCTAATCGCACTGTTCCGTGTCTTTCCCGTTGAGCCTTTACTCTGGCCATTGTCCTCGCTGTTTCCTGCACCGTAGCCACTCCTCTGGCCCAGAATGACCTCTTCCCTTTTCCTGTAGCTAAATCCCATGCCCTTTGTTCTCGTGCCACTCTTTACACCAGCGTGACTGCTCCAGTGACTTTAGGTCTTTCATAATTTCTCGTCACCTCCTGACTCTCCAACCAGTAATTATAGATCATTTTAGAATACATTATATACTTATATAGTCATTTCTTGTTTTATGCTACTTTTTTGGGCCATATTTTCTCAAATTATAAGCCCTCAAAGGCAGGAATTTTTACTCTGTATTTTTTCTGTTTCCTCTATATGCATAGTTAGCACTAAATAAATGCATATTGATCAGAATCAAATAGAGAGCATTTAAATGGACAGGGAAGTTTTAAGAGGAACCTACTGTATACCACTTTTCTAATCCAAGTCGGCATCTTTCTCTCTTCAGCTTTTATGTATTTACTTCCAGATTTTACATTTGCCATTTTAAAGCTGCATAACATGAGTAATGTGAAATTATGCTGATTTCCGGATTTTAGTCATACGTTTGTGTGCGAGAGAGAACATGGTGAACCATGGTGAACAGGATCTAGCCATCGAGCTTGTGGGAAACACACCAGGTCCCCGACACTGCCTCTCATGGCTGCTTTATCCTGCTCTGCTCAGTGCTTTCTTGAATGTATACTCAACTCTGTTGTGTGGTTGAAAGTACATATTACAGTGATACTTATGAATTGAGAGATTCAAGAAGACTGATTACATATCCCTCTTAAATTGCAAGGATCTATCTGCTGTATAACTAATTACATACTGTTTGACGTGGCATTGAAATGCAGATTAAAAACTTACCGTAATACTCTTTTATGCTAAACTGTAGTACCCAAGCCTCCAGAGCAGATGCTAGTAGTAGAGGTGTAATTCTAATGTATTGTGTGTCATGAATGGTATCTATCGTACTGATAGTTCTTTTAATATTCTAATTAGATTTTTATCTCGATCGTTCTCAGGTACTGGTATCTTGGGCCTCTAAAAACCAAAGCAGCTCACTTTTTCAGCACTCTTAAGGTAAACGCAATTTACAGTGTAGAAATTTGCCCTATGTTATTTTGTTGTTACTCTGTGATGTGCATATTTGGATTTTTAAAAAATTCCTTGCTACAGATGTGTCTGACATGCTCCAATTCTAAAATGGGGGATATTTACTTACATACAAGTGTAGAAAGCACTCCTGTTTAGATAAGCAGTCACCCCTCATCTTCCAGCTCATCCCCTCCATTACCAAACCCATGTTTAATTTCTCTTTAATGTTACAGTTCCCTTTGTCATTCATTCACTTGCTCTGGCCAAACAAACCTTGAACAAAATGACCAAGAGCTCATCAATTATTTGTAAGGGTATCTGGAAATGAAGATTTGTATCTGAATATGTCTAATCACATAGGCTAATGCACAACACAGTAGCTTTCAAACCGTGCTAGCCAGATATGGGTAGTGGTTACCGTGTTGGACAGTCCGCATATAGAACATTTCTATCATGGGAGGAAGTTCTGTTGGGCATTTTTCAGTATAGGGCAACATTTGTTAGTATGTAGCAGCAAAGTTCTAGGCTATATGCTGAAATTGTTGGCCCAGAGAAAAGCCGAACAATGTATAATAATGAAAATGCTAATAGAAGAGCCACCCTTGTCTGTGGACTGCGCACTGTGTCAGCTTTTATCAAAGCCCTGTATTCACAGTCTGGCTGGCGAATCTGAGAATTGGCAGATTAAGTCTGAATAAAGTGAGAAGTTTGGTTCTTATGTTAATATTCAGACAATCAAGTGTTTTTCTATTCGAAAAGTAGTCTGTGTCCATTGCAATACATTTGGAAAACAGCTCCCTTTACCTTCTAAATAAATCCCAGTTATTAAAATGAATTATTTCTATTGCTCAAGGGAATATTTTCACTAATTGAATAGCGAGTGTATTTAGGAAGAAATAGAATGATTACTTATTCAAGTAGTAGGCCTAGGAGAATATAAACTGTTTCCACCATTTCTTCAGCGAACAGTTATTGACTTTCTGTCGTGTGACAATCCCTTCTATGTGCTTGGAATACAAAGTCAAATAAGACAGATTTCCTTCCCAAGAAGTATTCATGTGCTGGCGCTGGGCGTGAGGCACAAGTAAACCAGTTGAGCGAGTGCGGACGAAACGTGGGAGGAGAGAGATGGGGCACAGCGGAGGGGCATTCTGACTGAGGGTCAGCAAAGTCTTTGCAGCAAGGGTGACACTTTTGCTAAATTTTTGCTAAATACATACAGAACTAAGTAAAGGGCGTTCTTGGTGCAGGGACCAGGGTGTGTGAAGTCACAGTGGTGTGACATGGTCTCATTATGGCAGCAGCTTGGTAGGAAGGGAGTTTGAGATTAGGTAGGGGCCGCTTATGGCAGGTTTGATGTGGGGTCTGACGTATCGTTAAAGCACTGGGGATTTATTGAATCGTAAGCAGGGGAATGACATGAGCAGATCAGCAGTTTAGAAAAGTCATTTGGCAATAGAGTGGACAGAGATTGGAGTGGGTAGCTAAAGGCAAAGGCATCAGAAGGTTAAAGTAATCCACGCGAGAGGTGACGACGAGGTACAGACTAAGACAGTAGCAGTGAGAATTGGCAGCAGAGGATGGATGAAAGAGATACCGAGGTAGAACCCTGAGAAGTTGGAAGGAGAGTATGGGACTCCCAGGTTTCTTGTTTGCGAGACTACAGTTTGGTAACTGGAGTTTCCCATTAATGTTGATAATGTTGGCATAAGACGAAGTTTGTGAATAAAGATGAAATCTCCAGTTTGGCATATTATCGAATTTAACATTCTCATGGTACAACCAAGTGGAGATAACAATTGTGACGTAGGTCTGGAATTCAGCAGAGGGATCCGGGGCTGAAGAAATAGATTAAAATGTCGTAAGTGTATGAGTCGCATTGAAACTATACATTTGATGAAGTTGCCATTGAGAAGAGATGACCAGGAATAGCCCCGAGGAATGTGAACATTTAAAGAGCCAGAAAAGACGCCTGAGAACTGCTAAGAGGAAACCGAGGAGAGAGCACTGACGAGCCAGTGGAAGAGAGACTTTTCAGGAAGACAGTGGGGTGTCAAGAAGCAGCCCCAGAGAGTAAGACAGGAGACGGGAGAGCGTCTGTTGAATCTGGCAGCCTCTGAGGGTTTGGGAGCCTAAGCGGAGAGGCTGGAGCCACACCGAAGAAAGTGAAGGAATAAATGGGAGGTAAAGAAGCGGAGACAGCGGGGCTAGGCCAGCCTTCAAGAAGCTTGACTTTGAAGGGAAGGAGATAGAAATGGCAAAAGCTGTGAGAGAGATGGGGTCAAAAGGGCGTTGCTTTTTTAGTTGGAGAGATGTCCGTGTCTTTATACCCCGAAGCAAAAGAAAGAAGGGAAGCGGTGACAGGAGCAGAAAGCCTGCCTGAGTCGGCAAAGTCCGTGAGCAAGTAGAAGGCTGTGGGAGACAGAGCCCTGGACTGGCCGCGGACGGGGAAGGGACGCTTCTTCCTTCAGATAGCAGAGAAATGAAGGAGGCGTCCAGATAAAAATAAATGTGTAGAGTTAAGGCAGTTCTCACCGATTTTCTGATATTTTCACTATAAGTGTAGGAAACAAAGTGATCTGTTGAAAATGAGGTGCATGGTGGCAGGGGGATTTTGAAGAAGGATTAAAATAGGGAGGTTTAGAAAGATTATCAAATGGTATTGAGGACTTGAGACCAAGAATTGGTTGTGACACAGATATGCTTGCTTTTGGGTGATTGTCTTCCCCTGTATCAGTTCTCAGCAGGAGTATTTTTTTCCCCTCCAATAATACTGAGCCATGCATGATGTCAGAAGTACAGAAGAAACCTAGTGACAAGACTGATCCAGAATCGGGGCTTCTCAGGGCACAAGACTAAAGGCACAGGAGGACCAAGAGTGATTTAAAGGAACCAACTGTTAGACACCTAGGGAAGATGGTATGGTCTGAGACTAGAATTCTCTGTGTGATTGAAAACTTGGTGTGGTCAGGATCTTCAGGGGCTAAATAATAACACCCCATCTTCCTCTTCTGAGTTCGAACCCAGCTATGAAAACAAATTTAGGAACTAGGCAAATGGAGATCAAAGTATCAGCTTTATAAACTTCAGCAGG